TTAACTTAGACCATGATTTCAGAGTATTTATAGAATCACAAAATGACTATTTTCTAGATGGACCCAGTCACTAGGACCGTTTAAGTGATATATCCTAAGCCCATCATCCAAAAACCACTCACACATTCCTTGTCCTGAAGCAGGAAATTGTTCATGTAGATGAAGTTTGTCCACCAACTTATGCGACATCCCGTCTTTTCAATAGGCGTCCAAAATGGTCCAGAAGAGACGTAAGTGAACAATGTAACATCGAACAGCATTATTACGGCATATGTTGGTGTAAGCCTGAAGAACGACTTGTATCTTCTGAAAATAGGTGCAAAACTTAGATTACCTCGTATACCGCTTGATGTAGATCATCAACCACATTAATGGATTTCGTGGATTCCGAATAGTTTTGCTTTTGAGCACTTTCTTGAAGAAAATGTAGGAGGCCAGTAAACCGCTAAATTCCAAAATAATAGATTTTCAACAGCATATTAACTCTAGAATATTTTCAGCGTGCAACTCACCTGAGTAAAAAGAATGAGTCAACAGCTAAAGGCGCTTGTACTATGACTTGTGTGTAAAAGTGTTTTGGGAAATCGATCAGAGTAGGAATCAGATTATCTAGAACAGATGTAATTTGGGATAGTGACACTTTATTTCCATTTCTTACGAAAACTAACATTTCTCGTTAGCCGATAGTTAGTAACATCCGGTCGCATTTTTTCAGACCCATGAGAACCATCAGAATTCCAAAAATCGATAAGGTTTTCTACGTTTTTTCTGGGCCGAATGCGCTGGGCTTTGGCTATCAAGACCTCACTCTGCGAAAGGATATTTTGCAAATTTTTATGAAGACCCTTCCACCTCTATCGCCGATATTTCAAAGAATGTAGTCAACACATGCCCTTTTTTGAAGCACTTCGGAGACGTAGCGAAAATAACGGAGATAGTGTCTATTCATTGTGAGACCAACTCATATCAGAGCGCAACAATTCTATTTATAATTTGCGAAAAAAAAGTATTGGATT